TGGTAAACTTTAGGGATGTTATCGACAGTAGCTGCCGTTATTGGACGTCCCGAACGTTGATCATCTCACAAGCTCTCACGGCCACGTTTAAATACAGCTGCCAAAAATTTCACTGTAGTCCAACTCATCTTTGATTTCCGTGGGGGGGGGGGTTATTGTCTTTCAAAAGCGAAAATTTAATGACAGCTCGATACTCAATATTTTCCATTATCGCAGAAACACTCGCATCGACTCACTCAAACGACTGTTAAATAAGAACCACATGTCCAAAACGGCTGAAATTTTGGTGCGTGTAACTGTTACAGAACACTATTACTCTCTACCGAGAGGTAACTGTTAATAGATGCATCACTACATTCATTAGCTTTTATTGATGAGTGTAGCCGTCTTCACGTTAAGGACGCGTTTACAAAATGGATAGGTATAGAATCGCACTACTACATTGACAAAAGTCACACACACACTAGTGTACGCACGGTTAGCTGTGGGAATCGTAGTCAAATGAAATTATTTTGATAATTTGAAAGATTGAATCTGTTTTTCATTTCTTATACCTACCTCAGAAATATACTTCGATACGAAATATGAATACCTGCTCCAAAGACTGCTTGGCACTGGAAGCCCTCTACTGGTAGTGAGATGTTAGCTCTGGACTTTGAACTGGTTTTGTCAGTTATAATAAGACCTTACCTACCTGCGGACTTGATGGAGTGACCTGAAGGTGTAATTTGGTGATTACAACAGGAACTCCTAGACTAGTGGAACTGGGTGTGCCGAGTTTGGGTTTGTTTTGTTGGTTATGATGAGACCTTACCGCCGGACGTGATGGAGTGACCTGAAGGTGTAATTCGGTGATTACAAGTGGAACTCCTAGACTAGTAGAACTAGGTGTGCCGAGTTTGGGTTCGTTTTGTAGGTTATGATGAGACCTTACCACCAGACTTGATGGAGTGACCTGAAGGGGTAATTCAGTAACTACTGCTGGAATTTCTGAACGAGTAGCACTAGATGTGCCGAATTTGGGCTCCGTTTTGTTAGTTATGACGAGTCCATACCTCCGGACTTGATGGAGTGACCTGAAGGTGTAAATCGGTGATTGCAACCGGAACTCCTAGACTGGTATAACTAGGTGTGCCGAGTTTGGGTTCGTTTTGTTAGTTATGATGAGACCTTACCACCAGACTTGATGGAGTGACCTGAAGGGGTAATTCAGTAGCTACTGCTTTAATGCCTGAACGAGTAGAACTAGGTGTGCCGAATTTGGGCTCCGTTTTGTTAGTTATGACGAGTCCATTCCTCCGGACTTGATGGAGTGACCTGAAGGTGTAAATCGGTGATTGCAACTGGAACTCCTAGACTGGTAGAACTAGGTGTGCCGAGTTTGGGTTCGTTTTGTAGGTTATGATGAGACCTTACCACCGGACTTGATGGAGTGACCTGAAGGTGTAGTTCGGTGATTACAAGTGGAACTCCTAGACTTGTAGGACAAGATGTGCCGAGTTTGGGTTCGTTTTGTTAGTTATGATGAGACCTTACCACCAGACTTGATGGAATGACCTGAAGGGCTAATTCAGTAACTACTGCTGGAATTTCTGAACCAGTAGAACTAGGTGTGCCGAATTTCACTCCATCAAGTCCGGTGGTAAGGTCTTATCGTAACTAACAAAACGAAACCAAACTCGTCACACCTAGTTCTACTAGTCTAGGAGTTCCATTTGTAACCACCTGATTACACCTTCAGGTCACTCAATCAAGTCCGGTGGTAAGGTTTCATCGTAACTAACAAAACGAACCCAAACTCGGCACACCTAGTTCTACCAGTCTAGGAGTTCCAGTTGCAATCACCGATTTACACCTTCAGGTCACTCCATCAAGTCCGGAGGTATGGACTCGTCATAACTAACAAAACGAAGCCCAAATTCGGCACACCTAGTTCTACTCGTTCAGAAATTCCAGCAGTAGTTACTGAATTACCCCTTCAGGTCACTCTATCAAGTCTGGTGGTAAGGTCTCATCATAACTAACAAAACGAACCCAAACTCGGCACACCTAGTCCTACAAGTCTAGGAGTTCCACTTGTAATCACCGAACTACACTTTCAGGTCACTCCATCAAGTCCGGTGGTAAGGTCTCATCATAACCTACAAAACGAACCCAAACTCGGCACACCTAGTTCTACCAGTCTAGGAGTTCCAGTTGCAATCACCGATTTACACCTTCAGGTCACTCCATCAAGTCCGGAGGTATGGACTCGTCATAACTAACAAAACGGAGCCCAAATTCGCCACCCCTAGTGTTCCTCTGCAAGAAGTTCAAATATCGGTCACGAAAGTAAACCTTCAGGTCACGCCATCAAGTCCGGAGGTAAGGTCTCATCATAACCAACAAAACGAGCCCAAACTCGGCACACCTAGTTCCGCTCGTCCAGGAGTTGCAGTACATATATAAAAAGAGTGGAAGACAGCACAAGATTAAATAAAACATATCCGATTATAAAGACTCATTTATTGTATAAAAAACCAACAAAAACAAGTTATTTTGTGTTATCGATATATCAACTCTTGGCAGCACTGTTTTCTTCGTAGGTATTTTTGTTTACTTTTCGCTTTGGCGTACAGGACACGGTAGTGAATTTTTGGCGTGGCGCTCAAAAGGTTAAGAAAGGAATGCTTCGGTGGTTTGGTCATGTAGAAAGAATGAATGAGGAAAGAGTGACAAAGCAAATTTATGTTGCTGAAAGTGAATGGAAGAGTCGGTAATGGACGCCATAGGCGAAAGTTTGTCCACCAAATTGGCGATCTATTGAAAATGGGCCAAATTAACAGTACCCGTAACCGACGAGCATGTATGCGTAGGTATAGGAGGTGAGAGAGGTGTGACAGGATCGTGCCAAATGGAAGTCTATAATGTCTGCCTACCCCTCTGGGTGACGTGCGTGAGTACTATGTATAAGATACAATTAAATGAAAACGACCAGTCAGAAGGATTAAACTCAAAAGAACTCAGAGTTTTCACGGATGGTTCCAAAACAAATGAAGGTGTAGGATCTGGAACTTTCTCTGAAGACTTTAATATCCACATATGTACACCGCTGGGTACCAATAACACTGGCTTTCAGGTGCAATGTATGGGTATCATCCAAACGGCCATAGCAATAGATGCTAACAAGGTAAAAAACTTCTCTATCAGAATACTGACCGACAGTATAATGGTACTACAAGCTCTGAGTTGTAATGTTATGAACTTGGGACTAATATATGAATGCTATCAACAATTAAATGAGGTATGTAAGAACAACAATGTGACTCTGCAGTGGATTAAGGGACATAGTGGATCCAGAGGCAATGATGCAGCAGATGAACTGGCCAGGAGGGGATTGGGTCTGGCCACTATAGAGCCGGAACGAATAATAGAAATCCCCTTTGGTTGCATTTGATCACTGGTACATAGAAACTACAATAATCTACACGCTCAGCTTTGGAAATATCTAGTAGACTGTAGACAAGCTAGGGAGGCCCTGCCTGAAATAAACAGTTGTCTAACCAAGGACGAGCCACAGATCAGGATAGTAACAAGTACTATTACAGAACATGGCTTCTTTAACAAACATTTATTTACCATAAGTGTTACAGATAGCTTCCTGTGAGGTCACTTCATACAGGGATAAACTCTCGGTACGCCGGGATCGTTTCCTGAAGTTGCTTGCAACATCAAAGGACTGTTGAACTTCTTTGGGGAGATTTCGTGGCTCCAATAATCACATTATTCCTGCCCAGACGAAAACAGCCCGTCGTAAACTAAACTAAACTAACTGTGAATACATAAGTACTCACCGGCATTTGGCAGCGGTGGTTGTGCAGATACATCGGCAATAGTGAAAGGAATGTGTGAACGTCGATAAATGGCAATATCTCCACCACCACCTACTAAGCAATTTAACTATTGTTGTGAATTTAAACTGGATGAAACGAAAAGCGACACTAAAAAGAGATAAATATATACATCTACTGTACACTACATACTACTGTAGCCTAATAACAGGTTGCGGACTGCGAACTCGAAAGTTTGTGGGATCGAATCACATTTATTTATTTTTAAACTTACCAATAGTGGTTAGAGTTTTAGTGATGTTAATAACATTGCTAGTATTTTTTTTTTAAATAGCATTTCCCATTACTTCGGTCTGCTCTTTGTGTGGTGCTTTAAATATGGTTAATATAAACTTTTATTAAAATAAATAGTTAAAAAATTTATTAATTAAATGAAATTAACCACATTAAATAAAATTATCACATCCAATTCATTCATAATAATCCACAATTTCATAACTTACAGATTTATATTAAATTATTTGTGTTTAAGCCATCTAGCACCTATATTATGTACAACTGAGCTAATCAATTTTTGTTTGATAAAATGACTTTACTTACTTGCTATTACGAAGCAATTTTATTTGAATGAAAATATTACTTTGATTTATTACACTAAATTTAAGTCTAAAAGTAACGATTGTAACATTTTACTTGCTTTAATTAAATTTAAACTTTTATCTTGTATTTTGTGCCACACTTGTGGCTTAAAATTATTATATTAAATAAATTATTTTCCATGAAATATTTTTAATTTATATTTCATTTTATTTGAAGGTTTTGTTTCTACCATGTGTGAACTACACACTACTTTTTAGCAAAATTTATTTTTATCGTAATTAATTTGAAACACATTGTTGACATCCAAAAATAGTGTAAAAAGTTAAGTTTAACCCTGACAAGCCTCCCAAACTGAAAACATAATTAAAATCAAGTACCGAATATCTATAGCTTCTTTCAATGCAGTTGGGATTTGCTTATTACAAACATATTTTATAGATTGTCTCTGAAAATGAAAAACCATCTCAACCGCAATGGTATCATCCGCCTCTGAATGTTTATGGGTTGGAGACATGTGGATGTAAATTTATTACAGATGAATTAAATACAGTTTTTTCAATTTAATATTTATTATATATCAAGATCATCGTCTGGATCTTCATCATCCCAGTCATCAACTGCATCAGGTTCATAGTAAACTTTACTCTGGCCTTCATTTATTTTGCTCATATAGGGTAACTTTAACTTATATTTTTCTAACTTTTGAGTTTGATCCACTTCTATTTTAAAAGTAGAAAGACTATCTGGAGTAGGTTTTACAGGTTCTTCTTCTTTAGCTATCTCTTTAATGACCTTTTCAGATTTTAATACAGAAGTAAGCTGATCAAAACACAAAATTTCTTCAGTTTTTATTAACTTATTGCCTAGTTTCAATTGGACTGTAATCTTACATGAATCATTATCATTAAATGAAACTATCGCATTTGCTATATGATTTAAATGTTTTTGTAATTTGGAAGAATATTGTAAACAATCTTTATGCAGCACCACAATAAGTTTCTTGACATTTTGATTATTTTTAAGCATTTTGATGTACTTTAAGCATTTGTACCAACCCAAATTTAATGCCATTTGGTTAATAGAATCTATTAAAATACAGCACTGTTGGTCAGTGTACTCTGTGAACATTTCTGGATCAAATTTATTGTAACTTCGTACGATTTTTTCTCTGAAAATATTTTCCCAAAGACTTATTGAATGTTCGTAACTAAAAATATTCATATTGAGGTTATCTCGTAAGACATCTATTACAAGGGGTAAAATGTTTTTATTGTAATCATCTTCAAATAGTACCATGGGTGAAGATCTTATTTTAAATAACGTCATCTTCCAATGGTATTTAATAAAAATAAACAAGAACAAGGAATAGAATTAAAAAATCAATTTTTTTGATACATGAATAAGATTAACATGAAATAAATTGTCACTAGGGATCCGCAAAAAGTATCGATACTAAAGATATAACCGATATATTTGCATTCGTATTAGTAATATTAGGTGGATTCATAGATCAGTAATCCAACTGATTCTGACATGCTAATATTTCATATTCAATTCATTTATAGACTGAAGTGAATATAAAATACCGTATGACCGTTCAATATAGGTTGGATAATATCATTGGACATTCGAGACCAATATCTGTATCATCCGTATCATAAGTATGGCGGGCGGTGCGAGCGAGCGAGCCGAATGACCGAATGAATTAATCGACATTAGTGTTTGGCGGATATTAGTTCTCTATTGTACAAACCTTAGGGACTATTTTCAATTGGATATTTTACAAATACAACAACTCTTTATAGATGTCTAAATTTTCTTGACTCTCTAGTGGTATGTTTAATAATGTATATTTCAGTTTATTTATTTTAATAAAATTATTGAGGATATATTAATTTTATTGTCATGATATTTCCCCATAATTCTTGTTAAGATCGTATCGACTTTCATTAAAATGAGTTCACATATTTTTAGGTATTATAAAACATTATTAAAAATTAAACTAACAAAGCAAAGGCCCTTGTTTTGTGCATTGGAATATATTTTTATTCTAATCACTTAAAATCACTTTCAGTAATACTTATATACTATAATATCATTTATTTAACAACAATATTAATATTTATCAAATCATATAAACCTAGCATACATGGCTATAAAAACTAATAACGTTACTTGGTAACATAAACTTAATACCTACTTGAATAGAATAGTAATATATAAGAATAGTAACCGTCGTATTAAGATATCAGTAATATTAATATATTAATTGAAATATTATAATATCACTTGACGAATATATTCATATTAACTAATACTAAGAAATATCGGTATTAACCCTTGTTTAATCGATACCTACGTTAGTACTCTTATTAGTTTGTGTAAATAATCCTCCCAGAACTTTGAAAATCATTATTGGTTTAAACTTATGTACGTGTTCACAATGTGACCACGTACATAAATTTCAACCATTATTAACGTTTATTTAGATACAAAGAAATAAAATACAGAAATATTTATTAAGTCTTTTATTTTAACATTTCAGTGTAAATTTACAAGTGCAAGCAAATTCTTTCCTTCTAGGCGCAAAACATCAATTTCTTTTATATTAATATATTATATTTTAATATATTAATTGAAATATTATAATATCACTTGACGAATATATTCATATTAACTAATACTAAGAAATATCGGTATTAACCCTTGTTTAATCGATATCTACGTTAGTACTCTTATTAGTTTGTGTAAATAATCCTCCCAGAACTTTGAAAATTTATCATTATTGGTTTAAACTTATGTACGTGTTCACAATGTGACCACGTACATAAATTTCAACCATTATTAACGTTTATTTAGATATAAAGAAATAAAATACAGAAATATTTATTAAGTCTTTTATTTTAACATTTCAGTGTAAATTTACAAGTGCAAGCAAATTCTTTCCTTCTAGGCGCAAAACATCAATTTCTTTTAAATATTGCTACAGCCTTTGAAACCTCAATAATTACAATCTAATTTTTATCGAAGGAGGTGATCGTTCTTTGCATATAGGTCACATATTTAATTCAATTGATGTAACAACTTTTCTCAAATTTTTCTCCTTGTATTATTTATGGTTTGTGCTTGTTGCTCCCCCCATTTACCAAATATGCAGCAATATTCAAAGCTTAAGCTATTTAATAGCTGAGTGCTCCTTTTAGGCAGTTTTAAACCTGCAACAAAAATAAAATTTATTTAAAAAAGTAACATCGTGTGAGAATTGCAAAGGTCCTTTTTAGATACAATTAGTCACTAAGGGTTAATTTTCCAATGGTCACATATAAGTTATTCATAAAATAAAATCCAACTTCCATTACTTTAATATAATTTTTTATAATTTTTTTCCGTCTCTAAAATACCGGTTATTAAATTTAAGAGTTGAAAAAAATTTAAATCTTATATATAATTTTAGTAAATAATAAAAAGGAAAACATGGACATGGAGTAACGGAAGAGTCATCGACTTATTTTTGGTAAAAAAATATGAAAAGATATTCATTCAGTATACTAACTAGAAATAATAAAAATAGTATTATTTATTTTAATTATAAATATTGTTGTATTAATATTTTATTGTTTTATATTTCTTTATTTTACCTAAGATTTTTAATATACATTCCCCCCCCCGCTCCCTTTGTCAGCAAAGGTAAGAAAAATTTAAAGCTAAACTTTGTCGTCAAATTGAAAAGGATTTAGCGCATTGAAGCCATTGATTTGTTTATCAGAGCTGTGGTGGAATCCAGGAAATTCCGGGTTCGATTTTTGACAGCGACAATTTAGAAGTTTATAATTTCTTGAAAACTATTTGTGTTTATTTTTATTTATATGGTTTAATATTGTATGCAATATAGGTATGAATAAGAATCACTAACCTCTCTAATTCCACGCTAATTTTCAAAGGTGATTTGATTCCACATTTAATTAAGTGGAATATAGGAACAGGCAATAATAACCGCACAGAAAAATTATATAGTGATATTGCACCATATTAAAAGCACATGTAAGTAGGTACTTATTAATCTTATTATATATATTAATATATGCTCATTTATCTACTATTTATGCAAACTTCTATTTACGGATCTCCTACACCAAGGCATAGAATAAATAATATGTAGTGCTACTCGTACGTTACCAAGGTTTGCCTGGAAGAGATCACCTTTAAGTGATGAGGTCACCTAATTGTATATAAATTTATATTTTGTGTGCAATAAAGAGATTCATTCATACGTTGCGAAATGGTAAGTAAAATAGGTAAGGTACCTATTCTGACTGATCGAATGAATATATTTTTGCTACTGTGCGAATTCTGTGCCTAACGCATGCAACGTGCAAGGTCACTCGTCGCGAATCGCGATTTAATAAATCGCTCGAAAGAAATATGTAGGTAGTGTAAACAACAAATGAACCCGAAATACGATTCCTAAATGAAATGTGATTGTATTCCAATTAGTTAAAAATCTTGTAAACAAAGTTTTAATTTCAGTGCTTTGTGATAACTTAAAATATTTTAATTACAAAAGACATGTAAGTTACCTACTTCAATTTACCTAAGCAAATTTCATACGTTACCTACGTAAATTTCAAATAAGTTTTGTAATAAAGTACTTAGGTATTACTTCTGTATTTAAATTATTACTTAATTCTTTTTTGCTATAATTCTTTATTTGACAAAAAAATGAAATTAGTATACCTTTCATTATCCTTAGGTAACTTAAAAAATGATATATCTGAATCTTTTTGTTTGCTTATTAATATGCATCCATCTACGCAACAATTATAGTAGGTTCGAAGTTTTGCCATTATAATTTATCAAATAGATAGGTAATAATATACACATATATTATTTTTAAATCACATTAATTTTTTCGAACTATTTTATCGTACAATTAAATACTAAACGCTAAAAAGAATTACAAGTGTTTACAAAAAACTATTTACGTAAACAGCGTTAAAATACATCAATCGCCTACAACGCGCTAGCCCCGACTGCGTATTACACCCAAATTCACCCAAATCGCGATTTTAGGTAATTATTTCACGCAGGTAGCAAGAGTGACAGAGGGCTGGTAACAGTTATAGTTCAGTATTTTCTTTCTTCAAGATTTAAACACAACCTAAATAAATATAGTCCACTCAGCTCTCATTCATTTACACGATAGTTTCTTTAAGTTTATTAGTCAGATAGATATCACAATTTTTTAGTTTCTTCTTTCTTCACCAAAGTAAATTATAATAAATAATTAGTCAAATACAGTCCACTTAGCTCTCCATCACCTACAATACATATCAATGATAATCGTTAATAGCAGTGTTCCCTTTCAGGCTTACTTCACGTACTATAGTTCATAAAAGATAGCTTGATCTCTGCGATAGCTGTCAGTAAAAATCACGCCTATGAAGTCCTGAATTTCTTAGTAGTACAGACAGTACCTGTCAATGTCATACTTTATGGGCATGCCGACCTAATTAGTGCATGCCCATAAAGTATGACATTGACAGGTACTTTCTGTACTACTAAGAAATTCAGGAATTCATAGGCGTGATTTTTGCTGACAGCTGTCGCAGAGATTAAGCTATCTTATATGAACTATAATTTCTAATTTTATAGCTAGTTGTGGGGTAAATTTTTCCTCGCACTTGTAACCCTAAATATAGTGACGTATTTTTTGTCTCTTTCCGCGACACGCTATTGCGTTGTCTATAGGATTCTCTGTCTACGGATAAAAGTCTGTAAATATGTAGTACTTCCTTTTTCGATGTATAGGGTATGTTCCAATGAATACCAGAACCCAGTGTACCGTCCAATGCAAATGACGTTATGAATCGACGCTATACTGGTGATTCGTTCCAAAACATAGGACATTATATGATGTCATACATTTACGCCATATTGGGAAAGTGTTGGCGATTATTTTGACATTTTGTGCTCCAAAAATCATTATATCATCCTAATGGAGATATCAGCAATTATTCTATAATTTTTTCTATTTGAATAAGTAAAAACAAATTTTGGCATGCTTCATTCAGCGCTTCGATCAACAATACCAACTAGATAACGGGTCACGTACAAAATCATAGCTAAATACTGTCCACGTGAATATAAACTTGAACAGCTACATTTGTTTACCAAATAAATGAGACAAAAAATTAAAATAGTTTTAAGTTCAACCTAATTAC